CTCGGTAGGGGCTGGAGCGAGGGCGGACTTGCCGGGACCTTCGTGGCCGGGCTCGCTCCGCAGGGACTGAGCGGAGCCCGGGCCGGCCGCGCTCCCGGCGCCGCTGGGGCCTCCGGCGAGCGAGCGAGCGAGGCGAGGAGGGAGGCCCGGCCCGGTGCTCCCCGAGACGGGCGGGGGGAGCAGAAGAGCTCCGCGTCCTCCGCCTGCAGCTTTGTTAGCCGGGCCCTCCGCGGGGAACGGGAGCGGCGGGACTGGGCCGGTGCTCCCGGAGTTGCCAGGTCCTTTCTTTCCCCGCTCTCGGTTGCGGAGCATGGTCTACGGGACTAGTGCAGAGGAAAACAACAGGTCTCGCTCCCTGCTCGCCTCCCAAAGCGACGCCAGCGCCTTGCTCTTGGGATTATAAATGTTTGAACTAAGACCCAGGGAACTGGAAGGAGAGGTTCCCGTTGGAATTAATAGAAGAGAAAAGAAGGGAGGCTTTTCCAAATCCTCTGCAAGAAGGCTCGTGCTGTTTTCCCCTGCTGTCCATACTCTGTTTAATAATGCGATTGTGACCTGAATGGAATTTATGAGCGATGAATTACTGAAGCTTGTTGCACCTCTGCATCGGACTACTTTTTTTTTTTTTTTTTTTTTTTTTTTTTTTCTGTCGGCACATGATTCCTCCATCCCAGCTGTTGCAGGACCTATGGGCCAGTAATAGAGGGATGGGAAGCTGAGACAGTTTATTTTCACATTCTTCTGTGCTGGAGACTTGGCGAGTTAGCTGAAGCTGCTGCTTTTTACTGGATCTGCTCTTTCCTCGGCAGGTTTATTTTTTTTTAATGTGTTTCGATTAAACAGTCATTGGACTGGAGCTGGATGGGTGCTTTGCAATCCAAAATGTTTTGGGGGATAACAGAAAAGTGCTAAAACAGAGAACTGGTGCTGCAGGAAACCTGGGGCCTGTTTATCAAGACTTTTCGTTTTGTTGAGCAAGGTAAGTAACGTAGTGGTGAAAATTCAGGGCTTATCGTAATCATGCACGGAAATGTTACAAAGCACTTCTGACTGTTTTAAGTCTTTCAAGGGATTAAGAGCACCCACAGTAAGACTCAGAATGAATTGTTCTTTTAAAATTTTCAGATATGAATGTGAAATTTAAGGTTGAGAACCTGGTTTATGGTACCTGAGAGGTTGGGGAGCTACGTTTCCTGATTTTGCCTTAAGTTCTTGTAAGTTTATGCTTTTGAGAGAGGTTGCCTGAAGAACTTTCCTGGTGGTTCAGTGTGCGGTAATTACACAAGTGGGTTTTTTCCATGCTTTTTAAAACCTTGATGCCTTAGCTCTGTTAGGGTCTCTCAAAGGTGCTCCCAGTTTAGTGTGCTCACTTCCAGTAGTGCAGCGCTCTTATTTGCATTGTGAACTGCATCCATCCTCCGCCTTTAATTATTTTTGCTTACCTTTATTTTTGCTGTCCACATTGACAGCTGCTACTACTTCATAATGAATTTTTTGCTTTTTTAATTTCTTTATATGTTTTTATCTCCCGAATTGGACTGTTTGGATTTACCACTCGTTTACCATACACCACTTTCACCAACATAAGCCTTCTGCAGACAACACAAGCTCAAAGTACTGTTGTAGATACAATCTTTGTACGTTTGAAGCAGTGGAAGAAGCAGATAATGATTCCCAGAATGTGCAGTGTAATCAGTTACTGGATGAAGTGTATGATTTTTGGTGTGAGGTTGCATACCTATCTTTGTGCTTTTTTTAAAGATCTCAGCAGCACTTTACTCCTCACAAAAACATAAATCCATTTAAAGGAGGTCACAGTTTGAGATGTAGCTGCAAAAATCTGGTTTTGCAAGGAGTCATGAGATTCTCATTAAGAAGCGAAGCCTTGATTAGGTTGACTGTGTACCTTCTCTCCACTCTTAATGAAATAGTGGCAAGCACCAAGGTGCTGGCAACCTTTGCTGATGCTATCGTGGGGAGAGCTAAGTGAGTATTATGGGCAGCACTCAGAGCTCCTGTTTAGATTTGCTTGATCGAAAATTCTGGCCTTTGTTGTGTCTCGTTTTGTTTCAAGATGATGTGTGAGGTGATGCCAACCATCAGTGAGGCCGAGATTCCCGCCGGGGGAAATGGAGGCCACGGTTCAGGTTCCCCGTTGCAATCAGATGCTGATTCCCACTTCGAGCAGTTAATGGTGTCCATGCTGGAAGAAAGGGATCGCCTCCTGGAAACGCTCCGAGAAACTCAAGAGACGCTTGCCCTCACCCAGGGCAAGCTGCATGAGGTTGGCCATGAGAGGGATTCCTTGCAGAGACAGCTCAATACTGCACTTCCACAGGTATGGACGTTTGGGAAGGAGGGGATTTTTCAATGATTCTTGCGTTCTTTGTGGTATGTTGTTGGTTTTTTGTATGTTTGATGTGTTTGTATGTTTTGACGTACTGAAGAGTCAGGTTGTCTTTGGGGAAGATGACTCTATCCTGGATCTGTTAGCGCTTGCTCACTTTGAGAAAGATGCAAAAGCAAGGAAAGCAGCCCTTTTCTTCCAGTCTGCTTTCCCAGTTTCTGGAATTTCCTTGGCTTAGCATAAATGTGGAATGGTATCTACATCCTTTTGTTCAATAGAACTTGATGGACTTTTTTCTGCGGTTTGTACTTTTTAAATGCTATTTCCTAATTGCCTGATTTATTCATGTACCTAAGAATTAATACCTGGTCTAGTGGGAGGTGTCCCTGCCCATGGCAGGGGGGTGGAACTGGATGAACTTTAAGGTCCTTACCAACCCAAACCATTCTGGGATTCTGTGAATCCCAGACAAACCATTCTAACACTTACAGACTTTGGTTTAAAAACTTGAAGACTGCTACCTTTTGAATGCATGCTAAGTTATCATGGCAACGTAGAAGTCTGAGTGTGTTGTTTAACCTGTTCAGTTACTTTTGAAAAGTTTGGATTTGGTTTTTGGAGGGTTTTTTTTTTTTTTTTTTTTTGGTTCTGCTAGGAGTTCCTAATTAGTGCCTTGTGGAGTATGCACGTGGCCTGCAGTGTTAGGTTTGTTACGTAAGGAGCATAGTTAGGAAAGGTGATTGGTGTCCACAGAACTCGTTGGGTTTATCCATTCGAGTTAAAAATAATACAAATGGACTTGTCCAACATGTTGAGAAGCATTTGGTTCTAGGCAAAGCAGGGGTTACTTTCAGGTGCTGGTTAACTGTTGACAGCCTTGTGCTTTCTGGCATGGTGGTTGTTGTCCCAGACATGACACAATGATGCTTTTACAAATATTCCCATAGCCTTAAATACTGTAGTTACTGTTTATACCCTTTAAAACAGTGTTAAGTCCTCTTTCACGGCTCTCATTATAATGTAATCACTGTATGACTCTCGCTGTGGTAATTGGTGCCAGTAATTACTGAGGGATAGAAACGAAAATGTTACACCTGTTAATCTAGTTCTGTTACAATGATGAAAATCAGAAAGGAGACGTTTCCAACCTTTGCTGCTGCCTGTGTTAAATCATGTGCTGCAGGCAAAGATCATTTTTTGATTTTTTGTTGTAATAATTGTGGCTTCTCCTCATCCTCTATGTCACGTTTACTACACTAATGGAGGCCATTAACCACTTGCATTACCTGCAAAGTGTAAGACCTGAGTTTGTGGCTGACCAGAATCATCCCAGCTTTCAACTCTTCCGTTCCCCTTTTTCCTTTTCGGTTCTCAGCTTTCCTTCCTAAATCTAGGAGGCCACTTGCATGTAAAACATCACTTTCTAAACATTTTGGAAAGATTAATAAACAGTTTCTCTTTTCAAGAATGTCATAATTGCATGGTTTCATGTGAAATCCGTTGGAAAAGCAAGTCAGTTGAGGGGGAAATTTTACTACAATTTTATATAAACATACAGCAGCATATGGATTTTTGTAGATTGCTGTTAGAAAATACTGTTTTCATGCTGTGGAACTGCTGTTTTTATCCTCAGTGGTGCTTAGTTCAAGTGGTGCTTTCAAAAATCAGAAATACTTTCATTATTATTGCTACATCAGAAGTAGCTCTTGTATTGGGCAGTTTTTGTTGTTGTGGTAGAGTCAGTTCCTTCATGGGTGTAAATTTTTGATGAGGTGAAAAAGATTTTTTTTAAATTCTAATATGTGTTCACTGTCAAAACTTTATGGTGAGTAATATTTGAAACTATTCAAACTTTTTTGTTCATTATTTCAAGCAGAGCATTCTTTTGAACTACTGCCTCAACTGACCCATTGTTTAGCTGTGGTTTTCAAAGAGGGTAAAGTCTTTAAATTTAATAAAATAACAGCTGTGTTATATTTTTTTCAAAGAAGGAATAATGTAGATTTTAATTTTTTTTTTAAATCATAGTAGTTGTTTTCAATTTAGATCTGCAAGGTCAGTTTAACTAACTGTACAAAGACCAGTGTAATTTCATGAATTGCTAAATCACGCTGTAACCGAAGTATTACTTCTTTCTCAGGCTTGGCGTGGAACAAGTCTTTGTAGTTGATTTTAGACTACTTTATCTTAATGGGTATTGAATTGAATTGTTTCTATGTGCACTTTTCCTGTTTTAGCTGAAAACATCTTTAGCTGAACCAGAGAGTTTCATCTCATCTGATGACTGATGGGAAGTCCTGGTCTAAAAGTAGGAGTGCCAGATGGATTTCTTCTATACCAGAATTACCCTTCTAGTTTTGCTGTGAAGAAACTCTATTTCTGATGCATCCCTATGCTTAATTCCTTACATTCACTGAGTTTTCTGTGTATAAGAAAGAAGCTCATACTGGTGTTGTATATAACTAATTTCAAAATGGCAAATCAGTATTTGCATCTCTTAGATTCTAAAAGTAAATGCAGTTTTTCCTGCAGCAGTGATGTAGATTTTGGGGTCACAGAGAAGCACACACTTTAGTGTGGTGGGCAGCTGGGAATTTAAGGCAACAATTCTAGCTCCATAAACCTGGGACAGCTGTTCAGGGTAAGGCAGCTTTTGTGGATGTCTCAGTCACTGAGAGGAGAGCATTTTAGTCTTATATAGGTATGCTTTATCTCTTACATTTACTCAAAGTAAAGCTGACTTATTCTGGGTTTTTAGTGTGGACAGCTGGAAGTGAAATACATCACCAGTGTCTTGATAAAATAACTAGATTCTTGGCAATGCTCTTTGTTTTCTGGGAGTTTCCTTCTATTACAGATTACCCCAGTCAAACTGTACTCTAACCTTGGAAAATGAGCTTGAGGAAATCAAACTGCTGTGCTAGAACTTAATTTTATTATTTCTACGATTTTTCACAGAAAAAAAAGAACATTAGCTTTTTACTTGAAGAGCTTTATAACATAAGCCTTTGTGGATTTAATGATGCCCTTTAAGTGCCTTTCAGAGTGCATTCTACAAAATTTGAGATTTGTGCTTCAAATTTAATCTGTAAAATTGTATTTAAAGATTAAATTTTAAAACTAAGGTAGATGAGGCCCAAATTACTACAGTTCTTGCTATTAAAGTGTTGCAGGCCAGGATTCATTTTGCTGATAGAATTTCATGTAAATGCTTTATGTAAATGAAAATGTGATGCTTGTTTTGGATGGTGAAAAACAGAGTTTAATCTCCAGTGACTCTGGTGCCTATCACAAATAAAAGCACAGTCAGTGAATTCACAGCAGTTGTTATCAGGATGAAAATTTTAATACATATGTTAATTTTATAAGCTGATAAATACAGTAAAAGTATGAAGCAACACATATTAAGATCCATCTTAATCTTGCACCTCTGATCTTTTGAGCTTAAATTTATCATGCCTCATTTTTTTTCTGTAGAAGGTAAGCAAAATTACTAATTGCTTTGTATCCATAGTAAATATTTTATCACTACTTCACACTTCAGTTAAAAATGGTGTGTGTCAGTTCATATTTGTATTCAGTGAAATTCAGGTATGTCCCTATAGAGTGATGTTCCTTAGACAATCTCAGACTCGCACATAAGAAATACCAAAACACCTGGCCAAAAGACTGCCCTGGCATTGTTTTGAAATGATGGACTTAAGGATTTCGTTGCTATTTTCTCAGTAATGGTATTTGGATTTCCTCCAGCCAGGTTTTGAGTAATACAGGATGTCATAGACATAGAAATGAGGTTTTGAATTGTACCTAATACGAAGAACACAGTGGCAGAAAACACATTAAGCAAAGGCCTTGCCAGGCTCTGCAGCAGCTGAAATTTCCTCAGGACTTGAAGTACAGCTTCGTTTCCAGCATTCCCAGATGCTCAGCCCCGAGGTGCCATAGCTTGCACTTCTTACTCTGGCAGCAGCTGGTGCTGACTTCTGAATAATAGCCATTAATCTCAGCAGAGTGCCTAGGAATCCTGGAGGTGCCAAAGGGTTTCACATGGATGTCAGAGCAGGCACATCCTCCACTGCTCCCGCCCTATTCTGACAGCAGAGATGAACAGGACTCTTCCGTTGTGTTTTCAGACATCTATATTGAGTTTCAATTGCTAAATCTTACTTAGCTCTTACTGTTAGTGAATTACTGAACTGATTTGGCTTTACACTAGTTTTAAGTTGGACAGAGATAGGAGTTAGCATTCAGAATTCTCACTGATTATCGATAAACCTCAGCTTCCCTAATATTTCTTTCTTTTCAAGACATAGAAACAGACACCTTTTGCTTTGAAGCTTCAAAGTATGAATTTATCTGAAATAATGCTCTGTGTTTGGGCAAAAACTAGTAGTTACACTTAAATAATGCACTGGAGTATATTGAGCACCGAGTCTCCAGAATTGGTTCTGTCTTCTTGGTTTCTCATGCGGATATGTTTGGGTTTGTTTATTGAAACATCCCACCCCTGCCCAGCTGACATCTGTTTGTCTATTGTTAGCAATTTGCTGTTTATACTGTGCTTTTAATTTAAGATTTGCTTGATTATAAATAGTCCATTTAGCTAGATTAAATTTGGAATTAATTTGGAGTTTCCTTATATTTGAGGGTGAATTTTGCTGTTTAATTTGGGGTGAAATTTATTGCTGTTTTACTGCTGAATGATGTCCCATCCATCCCCTTAATTAGCAGATTTGGTGAAGTCCAAAACTAATTTTTTTATTTCCCTTAGTTTATTTGTAGGAAGAATGTTTTGGTGTCTGCACAGAAACGCTTGGCATTTGTTTTTGGTAGTGGATGAGGCCCTGACACAGGAGCTACTGATTATTTTTCCCTCCTCTTGTGCTACTGTGGACAGATGTCTGACAGTGGGTTTATTAATGCTTGGGGTTCTCTAGTCTAACCCGTAGCCTAAAAACAGTCTGTATATATGGTGAAATGAGCTATAATCA